AAATTTCAAAATCAAAAGTTATCAAAACAAATTCTATGGGACTGAGAAATATTATTTTCTACTTTTTAGTCCATTTATAAAAGCGTTGTATATTAAAAAGTTTTTTTTTATATTATTTTTTTCAACCTAGCTCATAAGCTACCTGTGTGAAAACTTCCATGCAAATCAGTTCACTTATTTCCGCGTATTATTGAATTAAACATTTTTTAACACTTTCCAACCAATGTCATAAGCTATCTATGCGCAAAACTTCATGCAAATGCGTTCAGTCGTTTCCGCGTATTACTTTAATTAAACTTTTTAAAAGGTGGCAACTCTTCCAAAAAATTAGCCTATTTTCCATTGTAGGTCATAAGCTATCCTCACAAATTTTGAATGCTATAGAGGTTAAAGTTGCGAACTATAAAAGTTTTATACACTTTTCTACTCTTAATTAAATAATTTAATTGCTTGGAACTTGTTTTTAACCGACTTCAAAACAAGGACGAGGTTATCAATTTGTCGGAATATTTTTTTATGTTTGTTAGTACATAAGTTTGGACCACGTTCTATTTTTTATTTATTTTTATTACAAGTATACATTTAAACGATTCAATTTGTTTGAAATGTGATTGGAGTTGTGTTTTAAATTACCTTTCTTTTATTGTTTCGTGTTATGCTCGACGTCAACATTTTTATTTTAGTACATTAAAACACATTTAAAATGTAAATTTTACGCATTTTCGATTTTTGGTAACTAAATTGTTCAATATGTATAACAGAGATTTTCGTTAGTTGTTTCAGGTATTTAATTAGTCAAATATCAGTAGTCCTAACTGGATTATATGGTAAGTCTAACTCAGTTCTACCAATTGTTTAGCGGAAAATTTCGTTAGCTGTTTCAGGTATTTAACCATTGATATACCCAACAGTCATATTTCTTTTATACGATATGGCTACCAAAATTCTATACAACGAATAACGAAAACTTTCGTTAGCTGTTATGGGTATTTCATCCCTTTATTACCCAAGATTTTAACTACTAAATTTAAAAAAAAAAAATGCGAGTCTTAATATGTGTGAGCAGGTACGCTATACTTTCCGTGGGGGTTAAATGGCTATGTGCCAGAAGGGGATGAAAACTCACATGTCCACAAGAGTTTCTAGTAGGTTTTTCCAATCAGCATAAAGAAGCTATTAGAAACTCGGCCTCAAAGACTACCTAATATTTCTATAAACGGACTGCCTAATATACCGGTGACATGATGAGGGATTTAACTAGTAGTGTTCTTGCTGGGCGTATGTTTGAATGCACGTATGGATGTGTACATATATATATGTATACATATATATGTATGTATGGACGAACTCATTGCGCATTTCAGCTCTGCCGCTGCCAAGCAATCTTATTTTACTTCTTACTAATATTATAAATGTGAAAGTTTGTATGTTTGGATGTTTGGAAAATCATCTCGCGGAAACGACTGAACGGATTTGCATGAAATTTTGTAAGCAGATAGCTTATGGGGCAGATTGGTTAATAGGCTATTTCCTTTATGAGTTGCCACCTGTTAAAAAAGTTCAATTTATTTAATACGCGGGAACGACAGAATGGATTTGCATGAAAATTTGCNATGGCTAAGTCGGGTTTCCTCATCAATCTAAGCAATTCGGTGTGCATTTTCATTAAGATATATACCAACAAACGTTTTACAAACTTGGTTTGTAAAAGTTTCCAGTTTATGTATTACTAATAACAATATTTATAATTTTTATATATTATGTGCTTTTTATAAGCGTAAAACACAAAATACTTACTATAACTGGTGTTTGGTTTCAAACTCGGACAAACTATACAAAATAATCAGATTTTATTTTTAATTGGATAAGCGATTAATGTTTTAAATTAATTAAACATAATCGCAGCCAGCGATGNGAAAAGTCTGAACGGATTTGCATAAAATTTTGCAAGCAGCTAGCTTATGACCTACAGNCGGACAAACTAGACAAATTAATCAGATTTTATATTTAATTGGATTAACGATTAATGTTTTAAATTAATTAAACAGAATCGCAGCCAGCGATTAACGATTAAAAAACTGTTATCATTAATCGTACAGTTGATTACGACTAATTAATTTTAATCGTCAAACGCGATTAACGTTTTAATCGTTAATTTTAATCAGATTAACAGTTGCCAACACTATGTGAAATCATGTTCATGTTCACGGAGAAAATGGACGTTTTTGGAAAAGAGGCGTAGCACCTNGATCAGAACGAAATTTAGTACACTTACTACGGATTTCGGAAGGATGGTCTTAGACTGAAAATAAGTCCGGTAACTTAAGGCCCANTAATACCATACTCATGGAGAAAAATTAGAGTTATTGGAAAAGGTGGTGTGGCAACTCCCATGCGAATTGATTTTTCTATGCTGCATATCTCTGGAGGTGTTTATTGCAGAGGACTGGAACTTGGCACCGAGATGTGTATACAAAATTAATTCCATACTTATGGAGAAAAATTTGCGTTATTCGAAAAGGGGACATGGTTCCGTACAAATTTACTGTTTTATACTGCTTATCTCCAGAGGTGTTCATGGTAGAGTCCTGGGGCTTGGTACTGGAGTATGTAAAATCAATTCTAAATTCATGGAAGAAGATTAGGGTTATAAGAAAGAGGCGCGTGACACTTCCAGTTCAAATTTACTTTTTCTTGCCACATATCCCTAGAATTGTTTGTGGAAGAATACTGGAACTTGGTATTGAGTTGCGTATACAATATGTATCAATTGCTCATGGAAAAAATGTGAGTTATTAAAAAAGAAGGCATTTCACCTACCATACATACTAAAAACTTCTTAATACATATTTTTGGAAGGATAGAAAGTCTCTCGAAGTATTTTAAATTTGTTATGGAGATTTATTTTATAAGTGTCATACTGACAGAATAAATTTCATTAAATGGAAAAGGGAGAGCCGGGTTTGCCTTATAATTTTGAGCTCTCTTGAGGCATTTGCTACAGTAATGAGAAGTGGTATTTTATCAAGGCCAGGTTATGTAATGTAGCAACATGGTCGAGCCAGGCGAGGTGGCATGCAGGCATGCTTGCATCTCAAGCTAGCTCGTCGTCCGGGTGGGTCATTTCCGCCAGCCTTGCTGTCAACTACATTAGCAAAGAGTTATTCATGCCTGATACCTAGTGTACTAGTGGATATGGCTAAAGCAAATGCGAAGAAAGCAGAGAACAAAGAGATAGCAACAAATGAAGAGATGGTCCTGTCCTGTCCTGTCAGGTGGAGTCATTCCACCCTTCTTCTACACGAACTT